TATCGAGTATCTACCAACTTCGGACTACACCAAAGCCGATCATCTCACTACATCCTAAAGTCCAAGTCTGTCAATTAAAGGTTCTAGAAGTTCATTAATGCTTTATGACATCACTCAGCGGCCCCGTATTCTCTTTGATTAACTCAAAGGCTACCGGTACCCACAAATATGTCGCACTAACGTAGCTATTGCTTAGACCATGTCGGTATACCCCGCCCAGTTTCCACAATTTATTGCTACTTACCTATAAGGTATCCCAAATCCGGGTAGAGGATTCAAACCCAAACAAAGAACCATAATGTAAATCATACAAGTCAAACAATGCAAGCAAGTAAATGTGATCCATGGGCTCTTAGTTACTTGCTAGATCACTTGCTTTTGTTTGAAATTTTGCTTTGTGTGGTTTTTGAAAGTATTTTGTAAAGAGGCCATTATTTAGGCAATCTTTGTAATGATTCTCGTTCGTAAGAATGTATACAAAGATGTTGATCTTTTTAAAATGTTTTCAAGTTTTGTAAGATGTTTTGAAAGCGTAGGTGTTTGTTTTGAAAATAGCAAGGATGTTTGTTTTGAAATTGAGCAAGTAATTAGGAGCATTCTACCTACTCAAAAAGTTTTTCTTGTTCATTTTCTTTTCCTTTGACATTGTTGTCTTACCATTGATTTGGTAAGCAAACCTATCTTTGGATGTAAACGGGACGGGCGTGGGTCATCGTATAACCATGATTAGCAATGTTGCAAGGTATCTTAGCATTCTTTTTGATGGACTAAGATCATTTGTAAGGCAACTTAGATAGCATCATCGAGAGACTATGATCTTGTAATTGCTTGTTTTGGCTAAGACACCTTACATGCGTAATATGGTCATTTTGTATAAGGCAACCAAGTGGAATAACCCTAGGGGTGCTTGTGTGCAAGTGTATTATTTTCATGCTTGTTTTTGTCTTGAATTAGGGTTTTCTAAGTATTGGTTTTAGTCTTTCTATACAAACCCTAATTACTAGCAAGTTATATAAAAGCGATAAATTGCGAAATTTAAAGTTACTACGCTATTACAACATTTGTGGGGAGGGGGTATACAAATTCATGATTGGGGATTGCAAGAATTTAAATCTAATTGGTCTATTACAACCATATTGAATTGATATCAATGTACAAGGAAATAAATAAATACAAAATACAAAATGAATGAATGTACCAAAAAATGCAAAATGTAAAGAGAATGTATCTTTGTTTGATTTTTTTTTTCATAAATTTTTTTTGTCTTAACCTAATTAAATAAAGAAAGTAATTAATCAAGTTTAAATTTATTAAGAAAAGATTTTTGAATAAAACCCTAATTCTATTTAGTTGACTAAAAGAAAATAGGTTTAAAAAAGTATTTTTGATATTTTTATCCTAAAAATATTTATAATATTATAAAATATTTTGGCCTTTTTTAATATTAAAAATAAAGTATTTTAAATGGTGTGAAAAATGAATAAATAAAAAAAGAACATAATATTGATTAAGTTTACAAGATTATTTAATAAAATAAATAAAGTATAATAAATAAAAATATTTTTTTTATGGAACAAATAAAAATAAGTCAAGATATAAGTCTATCATTTTTTGTATTTTTATAATTTTTTTAGTATTTAGAAAATATATTTAATAAAAATAAAAATAAAAATAAATAAATTTGGGCCAGGGGTGTCAATGGGATACAAGGGGTTAACTAGTAGAATAAAAAATAAGCCAGGCCCAAAGAGGCCTAGCGCCCTGCAAACATAAAAAGGTCATAATTTGTAAAACATGAAAAAAATGCAAAAGGGTACTACTGGGGCTCGAACCCAGGTCCCATAGGTTACAAGCGCACGCTTCTACCACTAGGGTGGCTATACATCCGTTAATACAAACAAAACAATAAATATGTAAGGCAAAACGCGCCCTGAAGACTTCATCTTCAACCTCCAGCCAGACCAACTGTAACTTGCTCATTTCTCATCAAAAATGAAAACTGTAAACATGAAACTTGTAGCAAATTTTCTCACGATTCCAGAAATGTAAAGTATTAAAACTATAGATCAAAGATAAGCATTAATTTTAATGGCCCTAATCTGAACCCTAAAAATTTCAGAGATTTCAGTTTCAAAATTCTCTAAGCTCAAGTAAAATTAATGGAAACTATGGACATGGTTAGCTTCAGGGAAATGATATCTACATGTTTTGTTCACAAATAAACTATTGATGATGCCTGTATGAAGAGTTCCAACTTGAGAAAACTTACCTCAAAACTGAAAATTGTGTTTGAAGTTTGAGCTTGTTTTAGGCAGTGGTGATGATCAGGTTAGCTTCCTTGAGGTCCTAGGAAGCTAATACAATGGTTTGCTTGAGTTTAGAGTGGCTGAAATGGCCTGGAGAAGTCAATGTGCAATGCTATGTTTTTGGTTATGGAGGATATGGTAAATGATGTTACAGTAATGAAACAGGGACATGGATAGGTTACACTTGATGTAAGGAAGCTTTAGAAACTAAAAGTCCAAGAAACGCACGAGGGAAATGTGAGTTTTAAGTTCAAGGTCAGAAACTGTGCAACAATGGAGTTTTTGGACAATTTCTGATTTGAGAGAGTTTTGGTGTATTTCAGGGTACTTAAGCTCGTCCTCTAGCTCACAAATAGTGACTATTTATAAGCAACAAGTTTGGAGACCTCATGTTGATCAGAATTCAAAATCACAAGTTTATGCATAACATGTGATTTTTTAAGAAATTCTAGTTTCCATGCCTTGTACTTGATTCATAGAGTTGTTCACTACTTTAAACACAATACTTATGACTTTGTGGATGGAGTGTAATCAAGGAAAACAAGTTGGGAGCTCAAGAAGCTGACTTTGTGCATAAAACTTGCTTTACAAGGGTGGATATGTTACTTTCTCCCTAAAATGGTAAATTGGTTTGGACAAAGCTTGAAACACTTGGATAAGGGCATAATCAGTTGTGTAAACCATTAATTATGGAGTGAAAAACAAGTTTGAGGCCTGCAAAGTGAGGATTATACAACATGGCTATGGATTTGGTTCATGTGTTCATAAAAAATGACTTGTAATTCAAGTGACAAAACCCTAACTTCATCTCTTCGATTCTCCATACTCAAGAATGATCTTAAGGAGTTCTTGGATATTTTGGAAAGCTTACAATGTTCTATACAACACATATTTGAATTGAATTTGAATATTCCCCTTGGAACTATATGAAAAAGTGCCATGAAGTTGGGTCAAAATCCTGACCAAATTAGGGCGAAATTTCACTAAGTGTTTAGTTTCATGACCCTATGTTCATAAAATTATAACTTGAGATCTAAGCACTTTTGGAGGAAGTTGTGTGAAGAAAAGTTGTATATTTCATGGAGATATATAACTTTAATATTGGGAGTTTCTCTTGAATCATCTTGCATCATGGTGAAAATTTGCTCAAAGTTATGAAAAAACATGAAATTTCCAACACTTGGAAAATTTTCTAAGTTTAGAAATTTTGACTTTTCAAAATGAAATCTTGACTTTTTGATTTCTTGATGAATAAGTTTCATATTTTAAGATATTTTGATGAATTATGATCTTTGGCACTTGAATTTGACCAAAAAGTCAAAGTTTGACTTTTCAGTATACAGTTGACTTCTGATCAATTGACTGTAAAATTCATCTGTCAATCCAATGGGCTTGCAATGTTTTGAACCATGTCATTAGGTCAAAATGATGCAATTGGACTCTTGAGATTATGCCTTTAACCAATTGACTATTTTCTAAGTCAAAAATCATAAATTGCCCTTTCCCAATCAAAACCCTAATTTTGACCATTTTGCCCTTTTGGAAATTTGATCAAATTTCTTGAGGAGTTGTGGTCCAAACTTGATCAAATGATACATATGAGTCTAAAATGTTGATGTGGATAAAAAATTATGAAGTTTGACTGTAAATTGACCACAATTGACTTTTTCCCAATACAACTGATTTTTAGGTCAACTGCTTAATTGACTGAGCAAAAATGTGATTCAAGGCTTGAAACTTGGCATGATTAATCTTGGGGGTCCATAATGATCCATGAAAGTCATACGGGGCATTGGAAGTCCAAAAATCCTTGTGCAAACTCAAACCCTAATTTTGGTCATCAGTGCTTAAGGAGGTGTCTTGAGCTGATCAAACCCTAGTGCAGTCTTGAGCCCAAGGAGATCTTGTGAGTAAATTATTCATAAGTGAGAGGACAAATTTTGGGGTACAACATTCAGTAATGTATGTTTATGTTATAGAAAATCAAAATTAGTCTTTCAATTTAAAAAAAATAAAAAAATTTATAATATTTTAAAAAATAATTTTGTAATTTTTTTTTAAAATAAAAAGAAAAAATTATTTTTTAAAGATGAAATAAACAGGCTCATAATCATTTTGTATGATACCTCATAAAAATACACATGTTTCATCACTATTATTGATATCAAAATGAGAAGTAGGGTAAAAGAGTAAAAAATATGATAGTTGAGAAATTAAAATAATTGATTTTTGTACCAGTCTAACATTTTTCAGAGTGATAAAATAAAAAGAACAAAAATACAATGTATTAACTATTTTTAAAATGAGTTATATATTATGTAAGGCGTGCATGATTAATAGAAATAATCTATTTATGTAAGGCATACATGATTAGTAGAATATACACTATTTTTTTTAATAGAGCTGATATAAATAAAAGAGAAACCACACAAAAACGAGATGAAGATTATATCGAAATCCTTTCATGAATAATCTAATTTAAAGAAACACAAACTAAGTATATTCTTTATAAAATTGAGTCCTTAGAAATGCGAGAGACTACAAATTTTCGATTCGAGACTAACTTTATACAATTAAACCATTTGTTTCTAATTTGCCACAAAATTTTAAAAGGATACTTGAAAGCTTTGACCACCACCGTCAAACTTATTTCCAATCAAATATTGTGTCAATTCTTCCTATGAGCGAACTCAATTAATGCATAGCACCCCGGAGTTCAGCAATGAGAGAATTCATCACTCCCAAAAAAGAAGCAAACGCTCCCCAAAAACCATTGTCATTGTCTCTAGCAATGTCACCGCAAGCTGAAAATCCCGACGTATAAATAGAAGCTCCACCACAATTCAATTTTATGCAATTTCTAGGAAGTGGCTGCCAAATAACCTCAATAATATTGGAAGCTTTAGGAGATCGAATATTCACCTTAAAACTTTTAAGAAGCACAAAATCCTCAATATCTAAATGAGTAGAGATAACCGTGATTTCGATAAAAGAAACAAAAGAAAAAATATAAGAGACGGAAGAAGAAACATGAATGAAACACTCATTAAATTTCACCTGGCTTCTAGCCATCCAAATGGAGTTAAGAAGAAAGATAAAAGCCACTCTAAGTAAACTCTTACCCTTCTCAGACCCCAAAACGCCACAATACCGTCAAACATTCTGCCAACCTTGAATAGTGGTATTTAAATTAAGCATTGCCATCAACGATCTCCAAAGCTTCGTTGCATATTTGCACTCGAAGAAAAGATGAATATCAAATTCCTCTGCTATATTACAAAGGACGCAACGAGATGGTAAAGATAACCTTATTCTTTTCCATTACTCATCTGTTGGCAGCTTATTGTGAAGCACCCACCACACCAAAGAAGATTTTGATGGAGGAATCAATTTAGCCCAAATCCAACTCCACCACTCCATACAGATTTCTCTAATCCACTTAAATTCATAAGCAAGCTTTGAGGATAAACCACCTGTGAGGGAGGAATACCAAACTCTTTTGTCCAGCTGAATATGAAAAGGAATGTGACAGTTGTTGATCTACACATCAAGAGAAAGCAGAATAGGAGTAGCCAACTTAGAAAAGTCCCATTCACCATTAATTAAAATGGTGTTGACTTTATGATCTTCAATAGGAACTAGAGCATCAACATCAAGAACAAGCGGAGAACCACACCAATCATCAAACCAGAGACTGCTTGAGTTGTCGTCACTGAGATATCAAGAAGAGTTATCCATAATAGTAGACATTTCATGCTTAACACTTGTCCAAACGGAAGAGAAAACATGATGCTTTATGAATTTATCATTTCTAACGATTCTATTCTATAGAAGAACATCCCAATTATCAGAGGAGTTAAGAATATCCCACACAAGTTTCAAATTTGAAGCTTCATTAATAGAAATTAAAGATCTAATACCAAGCTCACCTTCCTCTAAAGATTTACAAATGTTTTTCCAAGCCATTATTATCACCTTATTTTTAGTAGTATCCACTCCAAATGAATCTCTTCCCCGCTCACTCCATCTCACAAACAAGAGATAAAGGCCACAAATAAATGAACATGTTATGGGTAAGCATTCCTTGAACGGTGGGCTTAACCAACTTCACTTTACATGCAAAGGAAAGTAAGGAAACTTTCAGAGAATCCAGCTTATTAATGACTTTGTCAGTAATAGACTACAAGAAAACACTCATAAGCTTGTTTTTGAAGATGGGAACTCCAACATAGTTGAATGGATCAGTCCCCTTATTGAAACCAAGCATCTCAACAAGAATGTTAAAACGTGAGGAAGACACGGAACCTCCAAAAATGAAGGATTTGATGCAATTGACCACCTGCCCAAAAATAACTGTATAATCTTTGAAAAGAGAAATGAGATGAAGATATCTGCAATTTTCCTCCAGAGTGTGGATTTGAGTTTGGTGATAGTGGAGAACCGATGTTTTTATCTTCTAAGCAAGTAGAAGAACTCTTAGAAGATGGATCTCATATGTTTGCAATGTTTGTATCCTTGCACGTCGATAATGGAGTTGCAAGTGTCGATTGACCTATTATGTGTAATTTCTAATATGTATTTGCAGATGACATCGATGACTTGCCTCTAGAGGGAGAGGTTAATTTTTCTGTAGACTTGTTGCCTGGCACTACTCCAGCGTCTATGGCTCCTTATAGGATGTCAGTGTCATAATTGGTTGAGTTGAAGAAAAAATTGAAAGAATTATTGGAGAAGAAGTTTGTTCGACCAAGCGTTTCTCCATGGGGTGCACCTGTGTTGAACTGTTCTCTATCAATTTTTTATAGAGATTTTGGTGTTGATCTTATTTTTTTTCCGCTTAGGGATCTTGATGTTATCTTGGGAATGAACTAGTTAGAGTCCAATCATGTTCATATAAATTGTTACGACATATCAGTACAGTTTCTTGCTCCTATTGATGAAGAGGAAGTTAGTTCTTATATGCTAGGCAGATAGAAGAGCTGTTGCAGGATGAAGATCGAGTGTTTGCATTGTTTGCATCTTTATCAGCTAAAAGTAAAATAATGATTGATGAATTTCCGATAGTGCGTGATTTTTAATATGTGTTTCTGGATGATGTATCAGATGTGCCGCCAGAGTGAGAAATGGAGTTCTCTATTGATCTTGTCCCTGGTGTTAGACCTGTTTCTATGGCACCATACAGGATGTCAACGTCAGAATTAGCGAAATTGAAAAATAAATTAGAGTATTTGTTGGAAAAGAAATTTGTAAGACCAAGTGTGTCACCTTGTGGAGCTTCGGTGTTGTTAGTAAGGAAGAAAGATGGTAGTATGAGATTGTGTGTGGATTATCGACAATTTAATAAAGTAACAATCAAGAACAAGTATCCACTTCTGAGGATAGATGATTTGATAGAACAACTGTTAGGTGCGTGGGTTTTCAGATTTGGGTGAAAGATGAGGATATTCAGAAGACATTCGGTATGGACACTATGAATATTCAGTGGTGTCGTTTGAGGTTTTCAATGCACCTGGAGTGTTTATGGAATATATGAATCATATATTTCATACTTTTCTGGATTCGTTTGTGGTAGTTTTCTTTGATGATATTTTGATATATTCCAAGTCAAATGAAGAGCATGTCGAGCATTTGTGAATTGTGTTGCAAGTGTTGAAAAAGAAGATGTTGTATGCAAAATTGTCAAAGTGTGAGTTATGGTTGCAAGAGGTTAGTTTTCTTGGGCATATTATTTCAGGTAATAGTATCATTGTGGACCCGTCCAAAGTAGATGGAGTACTACAATGGGAGGCTCCTAAGTCAGTTATTGAGATTAGAAGCTTTTTGGGCTTGGCTGGTTACTACCGTAGGCTTATTGATTTTTTTAAAGTTAGCACTTATGTTAACCCAGGTGACTTGTAAAGGTAAAGCGTTTGTTTGAGACGTTCATTGTGAGGAAAGTTTCAAAGAGATGAAGGAGAAGTTAACTACGACTTCAGTTCTGATTTTTCTAGATCCTAATGACCCGTTTGTAGTGTATTGTGATGCTTCTAAGATAGGTTTAGGCGGTGTGCTGATGAAAGATGACAAGGTAGTGACCTATGCTTCACAACAACGGAAGGCTCATGAGAGAAGCTATCCTACTCATGATTTGGAGTTTGTTGCAATAGTGTTTTTGTTAAAGATTTGGAGGCATTACCTTTATGGTTCTAGATTTAAAGTGTCCAATGATCACGTGATTTTAAAGTACCTATTTGATCAGAAGGAATTAAATACGAGGTAACAAAGATGGTTGGAGTTTATGAAGGATTATGACTTTGGCTTGAACTACCACCCCGGTAAAGCTAATGTCGTGGTCGATGCTTTAAGTTGAAATTCCTTGCATATGTCTACTTTGATGGTTAGAGAGTTAGAACTTATTGAGAAGTTCAGGGATTTGAGTTTGGTTTATGAGCTAACATTGCAGATTGAGATGTTGGGTATGTTGAGAATAAACAATGATTTTCTTACTAATATAAAAGAGAGTCAGAAGTTGGATGCAAAATTGGAGGATTTTCTAGTTGTGAGTAATCATAATGAAGAGAATGATTTTAAAGTGGATGAGTACGATGTGTTGAGACTCCAAAGTAGAATATATATAGCTGATAACCCTGATTTGAAGAAGATAATCTTAGAAGAGGGCCATAAAAGCAACTTGAGTATTCACCCAGGAACTACTAAGATGTATCAAGATCTGAAAAGATATTTTGATGGTCGGAATTGAAGCATGATGTGGCGCAGTTTGTATATGCGTGCTTGACTTGCCAGAAGTCAAAGTTTGAGCACCAGAAGCCTGTAGGAATGGTGCAACCATTGGAAGTTCCGGAGTGGAAATGGGGTAGTATTACACCCTTCTAACCCCACATGTACTTCCCAAATAATTTAATAATAATTTAATTATATCACCAAACAAGGGTGTCACATCATCATAATAAAATATCATAATGTACAATATTACTCTATAACACAAGTTATAACAACGGTAATAACAACTTCTTAAGTTATACACCTTTACGGTGTTTCATGCGACATCAAGACATCTTTTAAAAGAAATGCAACATAATCATCAATCATAATAATATCAATTATCAACTCATCATATTTAGTCTCATAAAAATAGATTTTTAAAATTAGTTCAACAGTCAAAACCTTCATAAAGTATATTAATATAAAAGGAACGTAACATTCGCAAACTAAGCATTCCAAACCTGATGTTACATATCAGAGTAAGACACCTTCTTTTTAGTAACGTGTTTTTTTGGATTGACATAATTTTTTCTAAAACATGGTTTTCCATAACAGGTTGGATGTTATGTTATTTTCAGCTAAATGTCGAAGACAATGTCATGACATCTTGGTCTGGTGCAGTAAGTTATGCTGTTTGATTTATTCTTGACAGATTTCAAATGATTCTGTGAGTTCCTTTTGGTTTATTTCATTGATTTTTCGCAGGTCAAGGATATTTAAATCTGGAATAAATAATATCTCCAATTGTACACAGGTTGCTATAATTGGTTGATTGAGACTAATTAGGAAACTTTATGTTTTATTCCAAGATTCATAGAGACTTTCTAGCACAGATTGGTGCAACCCTCAGTGTGGACAACAAGGAATATTTGGGCGTAACTGCAAGGACCAAGAATTGCTAAGGAGTATTTAAAGAAACTACCTAGACCTAATATCATTAAGAACTTAGAAAAATAAGGGGAAGCCATATTTTCTCAGTCTTGGGGTCTGAGGGTTCTTCAAGGGAGTTTCTGTTTTGTTTGCACGTCCTCGTGCATCTCTCAATGCACTTGAGTTGACTGATTTTTACTTGACGATTTCTCAAGTTATTGTTCTCACTCTAAAGATTTTAAGAAAGAGTTTAAGTATTGTTATTGAAGAGTAAACTTCAGTTTTATTTTGGTTTCAAGTCACTATGATTGTGGTTGGATTATAGACTGCCATTGGAATTGGGGTAGGTCTTTTATCATTGTGGTGATTGGAAGTGGGATGACGATTTTCCATATCTAGGAGGTGCCTAGGTAGAAGTTGTACTGGATAGTGATTGAGTG